TTCCTATGGTTGTGTCGACTGGGACGTTGGTAAATAGGGATTCAACGTCCAGGGAAGCGATGATTCCATCGGGCTGGGTAGATTTGATAAATTCTAGGAAATCTGCTGATGATTGTAGACTAAACTTACTTGGAGTTACCTGGTTGATACCTGGTTGATGGGGTTCTGGGAGTTCTTCTACTCCCCAAGCCCGGCCCGAGGCCAGGCTCGACTTGTGAGAGTTTGGTCCACCAGGCTGTTGCTTGGAGCGGCCCGCAGGCCCACATACCCACCACAGCCCGGTTGGTCCGGCACTCCTTGGAGGAATAAATCTAGTTTCCTCTTGAAAATGTCCACGGTTGTTCCGGCAATATTTCTTATGCTTGCTGGGAGGACGTTGAACAACCGCGGACCTCTGATGTTTATATGGAGGTGTATGGAGTATAGTGTATAGTGTATGGAGTTAGGAGTTCATTGAGTTTCTTTGCCAGGTGATAAGTTGGGGTTGGTATTTGGCTGATTATAGGGCGTAGTGGGTTACCTGGTTTATGCGTCTTAACATTACCGTAGGCATATCCTAAGCCATAGTCGCCTTGAAGTTTATAGAAATGCACACTACCTTTCTTTGCGTTGATTGCTGTAATTGTTTTGTTTACTTTCCGCTTAAGGTCTTCTACGGGGTTCCTCGTGATTCGTTGAAATTTGGAGTCGTCACTTAGGATGTCGCTAATTTTGTTCATGTATTCATGGGTAGGAATCAATACATATGCTGCTGTTTTGTCGGCTTTTCTTATTGTTACGTCTTTCAGATTTTTTAGTTGTTTCGCTGCTTCTTTGAGTCGTGAACGCGAAAATAACGCGGAAATAAACGCTGCTATAAGAAGACACTTGGACCGATGGTATAATTCAGAACCTAGAACAGAAATATATATATAGTTATATATATATATATATATATATATATATATATATATATATATATATATATATATATATATATATATATATATATATATATATGTCGTACCTAGTAGCCAGAACGCACTTCTCAGCCTACTATGCAAGGCCCGATTTGCCTAATAAGCCAAGTTTTCATGAATTAATGTTTTTTCGACTACCTAACCTACCTAACCTAACCTAACCTAACTTTTTCGGCTACCTAACCTAACCTAACCTATAAAGATAGGTTAGGTTAGGTTAGGTAGGGTTGGTTAGGTTCGGTCATATATCTACGTTAATTTTAACTCCAAAAAAAAAAATTGACCTCATACATAATGAAATGGGTAGCTTTATCATTTCATAAGAAAAAAATTAGAGAAAATATATTAATTCAGGAAAACTTGGCTTATTAGGCAAATCGGGCCTTGCATAGTAGGCTGAGAAGTGAGTTCTGGCTACTAGGTATATATATATATATATATATATATATATATATATATATGTCGTACCTAGTAGCCAGAACGCACTTTTTGGCCTACTATGCAAGGCCCAATTTGCTAATAAGCCAAGTTTTCCTGAATTAATATATTTTCTCTAATTTTTTTCTTATGAAATGATAAAGCTACCCATTTCATTATGTATGAGGTCAATTTTTTTTATTGGAGTTAAAATTAACGTAGATATATGACCGAACCTAACCAACCCTACCTAACCTAACCTAACCTATCTTTATAGGTTAGGTTACGTTAGGTAGCCGAAAAAGTTAGGTTAGGTTAGGTTAGGTAGGTTAGGTAGTCGAAAAACAATTAATTCATGAAAACTTGGCTTATTAGGCAAATCGGGCCTTGTATTGCATAGTAGGCTACGAGTACGACGTTCTGGCTACTAGGTGACAATGTCAGACCACATATATATATATTATATATATATATATATATATATATATATATATATATATATATATATATATATATATATATATATATATATATATATATACATACATACAATGGGGCCTCAACTTACAATGCTAATCCGTTCCCAGAGATGGATCGTAAGTCAAAATTATCGTAAGTCGAAGCAATTTTTCCCATAAGAAATAAAGGAAATTGAATTAATCCGTTCCCCACCCTCCAAAATATTAACATACAAATACATTTTATACTGAATACAATGTTTTTTTCTAACGACAATACAGTACCAAAGTTTCTCTTACCTTTATGGAGGGCTCTTGATGGCGTATGGAAGATGGTGATGAGGGGGGAGGAGGAGAGTTGTTACTGTTTGGAAGGGGAGTCCCCTTCCATTATCACATCAGGCAGTGATGTTTTCTCTGGGGTACACTCTCTCCTACGTTTTGCCTGAATACCACTAGGACCTGGTTGTGGTTCAGTGCTTGTTTGTCTCACTACAAATTTGTCAAGAGACATTTGTTTTTCCCTTCATTTTAACATTTGTCTGTAATGATGCATCACTTTAGCACCCATAATGTCCTTTTTCTTAGCCAGTATGGTGGATATCGTTGACCGAGATTTGTTGTACTGCCTAGCCAGACCAACAACCCGCACACCATCTTCATATTTACAAATGATCTCTTGTTTCTGCTCTATGGTCATCCTTACATGGGATCTCATATGTTGAGCCTTATCACTGACTTTCCTGGGACTCATGGCGTGATATATAATAATTACTTTAATGTTCAAATACAAAAAATCACCACAAAAGCGAAATTTCTTACAGGCGCAATCGTCACTAAGCGGGCAGCTGTAGTAAATTGAGGCAGGTCGGCCACGTGACCGGGAACCACGCACTCGGTCGACCTAAACGTGTACCAACAAATATTGTAAGTCGACGACACCATCGGATATCGACTCGCATTTTTCGATGAAATTTACATCATAACTCGGAATTATCGTAAGTAGGGGCAATCGTAATCAAAGTGCCACTACCTGCAATTTGTTGTTGAGTGTGTGTGTGTGTGTGTATATATATTTTTTTTTTTAGTTATTTACATATATATACACACACACACACACACTCAACAACAAATTGCAGGTAAAGGATAATATCCAGAGGTTGAAAATGGGAAACAGATTCACGGAAAATGAAAAGGAAATGTGTGAAACATTAAATGAAAAGTTCCAAAGTGTGTTTGTACAAAATGAAATCTTCAGAGAACCAGACACAATAAGAATTCCAGAGAACAACATAGAGCGGATAGAGGTGTCTAGAGATGAAGTGGAAAATATGCTAAAGGAGCTCGGGAAGAACAAAGCGGCTGGCCCAGATGGCGTTTCACCATGGGTTCTGAGAGAATGTGCATCTGAGCTCAGCATTCCACTTCACCTGATCTTTCAGGCATCCCTGTGTACAGAAATCATAGCAGACGTGTGGAAACAGGCTAACAGAGTTCCAATCTACAAAAGTGGCAGCAGGGAAGACCCCCTCAATTATAGACCAGTATCATTGACAAGTGTAATAGTGAAAGTATTGGAAAAGCTAATCAAAACTAAATGGGTAGAACACCTGGAGAGAAATGATATAATATCAGACAGACAGTATGGTTTTCGATCTGGAAGATCCTGTGTATTGAATTTACTCAGTTTCTATGATCGAGCCACAGAGATATTACAGGAAAGAGATGGTTGGGTTGACTGCATCTATCTGGACCTAAAAAAGGCTTTCGACAGAGTTCCACATAAGAGGTTGTTCTGGAAACTGGAAAATATTGGAGGGGTGACAGGTAAGCTTCTATCATGGATGAAAAATTTTCTGACTGATAGAAAAATGAGGGCAGTAATCAGAGGCAATGTATCGGAATGGAGAAATGTCACAAGTGGAGTACCACAGGGTTCAGTTCTTGCACCAGTGATGTTTATTGTGTACATAAATGATCTACCAGTTGGTATACAGAATTATATGAACATGTTTGCTGATGATGCTAAGATAATAGGAAGGATAAGAAATTTAGATGATTGTCATGCCCTTCAAGAAGACCTGGACAAAATAAGTATATGGAGCACCACCTGGCAAATGGAATTTAATGTTAATAAATGTCATGTTATGGAATGTGGAATAGGAGAATATAGACCCCATACAACCTATATATTATGTGAGAAATCTTTAAAGAATTCTGATAAAGAAAGAGATCTAGGGGTGGTTCTAGATAGAAAACTATCACCTGAGGACCACATAAAGAATATATGCTTTCTAATGCTTTCAATATATGCCTATGCTATGCTTTCTAACTTCAGAATTGCATTTAAATACATGGATGGCGATATACTAAAGAAATTGTTCATGACTTTTGTTAGGCCAAAGCTAGAATATGCAGTTGTTGTGTGGTGCCCATATCTTAAGAAGCACATCAACAAACTGGAAAAGGTGCAAAGACATGCTACGAAGTGGCTCCCAGAACTGAAGGGCAAGAGCTACGAGGAGAGGTTGGAAGCATTAAACATGCCAAAACTAGAAGACAGAAGAAAAAGAGGTGATATGATCACTACATACAAAATAGTAACAGGAATTGATAAAATCGACAGGGAAGATTTCCTGAGACCTGGCACTTCAAGAACAAGAGGTCATAGATTTAAACTAGCTAAACACAGATGCCGAAGAAATATAAGAAAATTCACCTTCGCAAATAGAGTGGTAGACGGTTGGAACAAGTTAAGTGAGAAGGTGGTGGAGGCCAAGACCGTCAGTAGTTTCAAAGCGTTATATGACAAAGAGTGCTGGGAAGACGGGACACCACGAGCATAGCTCTCATCCTGTAACTACACTTAGGTAATTACACTTAGGTAATTACACACACAGTATGTATGTATGTATGTTAGGCTCATAATGAGGTCCTCCCAAGGTTGAACTACTGACCCTCCCCAGGATGCAACCCCACAAACTGATTAACTCCTGGATACCTATTTATTGCAAGGTGAACAAAGGCATTAAATGATAGGAAAAGTGCCTGAGATTTGAACCTGGAGTTCCCAATTGTGAGTCAAGAATGAGCCCAACTGTAATTGTTTGAATTACTACAAAGGGAGAATTATTATTTAATTTTAAAGACAACTTAATTAACATACCAGCTTGTATTCGACCATTCGTTGCTACAGCAGACATTGAGAGAGTGGTGATGATGGTGACTGAGTTTGCCATTACGACAATGATCATTGCATAAACTGTAAAGGAGAAGTACATTTGTAACACTGAACAAGATTCTCAATATAATATCAAATGCAGCAGATAATCATAATCCAAATTTGTCTTCCCAATAAATTAGAATTACAGTAAGTGACTGCATGAACATGTTAAATGTTAAATTCAAAAATTGCATGAAGACCTAGACAGGATAGTTCTACTGGTTTTTTCAAATTATTATCAGGACTCTTTATAAAGGAACATATAGAGTGTTTTAAAATTATCATTTCTGGGTTTGAAATGAAAGCCAACCTAATAAAATAAAATATTTTGTGTGTGCAAATCAGTGTACTGTAAATTCAAGATAAAACATTTTATTTAACAGGATAAGTGCAAAAACAATTATTTGAACTGGGAATTTAAAATACAGTAAGAAATTAAACTGGACTTATGTAATAGTATTGTAAATAGTTAATATAGGTAAGGGTAACCAATAATCAAGAGGCAAATTAATATAATTGTGCTCCTTTAATCAAGATAATTAATGCTCCTTAAATACAGAACCACTGGTACAAATGTCTACTAGGAAGCCTAGCAAGTAAAGAACTATTGTATTGTAGTAGGAATTGCAGTAAATGCAATGACTTGCTGCTGGCCCGGGAAGTATAGGACAGAGAGGGGGGGAAATTTACCCCCAGTCCTGACACCATTTTTCCACCATCCTATGTCATCACTACTCTTTCAATATACCTAACCAGGGCCAGCTTTAAGATAACGGGATCAATTGCTCCCAAGAGGCTATGTGCTAGGTTAATTTACTCTAATCTTGTAAACTGATGAGTTTTTATAATAAAAGTAAGTTTTTAGAAATCCAAAAACAATCATTTGTTTCCAACAATGCTGTTCAACTTTGGGTTTGTTTACAGGCTCTCTTTCTCACCACTTTGAATAGTTTTTTCTGATCAAAACAAACGGGTTGCAAAAATGTAATGCTTCCCCCATATCATGTATTATATGCATATGTCTGTTTAGGGAATTTTATTCCGATCAATATACAACCAAAAATAACTGTGTGCAACAAGTATAAACTTGACAAACATAACAAAAGTAAAAACATTTCGTGTGTGTTTGACGCTCACTGATATGTTCCAGCGTTGTTTTATATTTGGCGCTATTCTAACTTACGCTTTGTTGATATTTTTTACCTATGGGCACATAGAACATTCTATTGCGAACACATTGACACAAAAATGAATGACGTACATAGAAAATTAATGTCATGAGAGTGAAATAAGTATAAACTTTCAAAGCGCCGTGCGTCGTCCCGTCACCGATACCGGGTAACAATTTCACCACTTCCCACACTCTTGCGGGCGGGCGTGTTAATAGGTTTAATAAATCATTTCACTTAAACAGGGCTAGGCTGTGAACCACGGGGGACCTACCAAAAGGTTCAAAGTTGGGCCCTAAGGCCAGCCCTGAACGTAACCCACCTGACCCAATCCATCCCAACCCAACCTAACCTATTCTCACTTAACCAAGGAGATAAAAGTTTGTTTTTATATGAAATACACAAGGTGTGACATCATCATTATAATGTCATGATTTTTCTCTGGCTCAGGTTTTAGATTCTACTGTGGGTTATAAGGGCTGTGTCGATGAACTCTTGGCTAGTCTTTGATCTACATTCTGTAATCCATCTTATAGAACAGGGTAGCAGCATGTTGCTGCGTATACCTGAATTTGTTAAAAAGAAAATAAGTGCTGCCAGGAGTAAGGTACGAAATATCACGTAATGAGGCTGAAGGTACCACCCTCATGTAGCGACTTCCATGTTCAATCCCAGAAATTTATTAATTCATGATTGACATGTTATTTCAGCTCAATTCAAAAACTTGCAGATTAAACTTACTAATACCAGACTGGCCAACCATCCAAGACACTCTTAAAAAGAGCATCACTCCCCAGATGTTGAGAAGACATCTCATCTGTTGATGACACGCAAGAATATTATTTCTGGGACTGAGCAAAACGTTATATTGAGACAGTATATTTTTATTAAAATAAAAGTAAATAATAAGATGTAGGAAATGTTCAACATGTAATATATATTTTTGAGTGGGCAATGAGTACATTTCAAGTGTGCACAATTTAAAATATGTTCTTAATGTAGGGGCAAGTTAAGAGCACAGTTGACATAAAAAGTAAGAATAAAAAGAGGGTATGTGATGATGTTTGGCATGAGTGCCCCCCTCCCCCTCTCACTGTGTGGGGGTACCTAAGTGAGGTGGAGAGGAAGTGCACCAGGGAGGGAGGGAGGAAAGAAAATGTGGGAAAACTTGTGTAATGAATGGTGGGTCTTGTGAGATCAGGGCGGTTACTGGGTTTTATGCAGGCCCGGGTCAGGCGACATAACTAATCTCTACCCATTTTTTACCAGGATAAGTGAGGTAGAGTTTGCACTCATCCCCAGTAAAGGTTTGAGACTACAGTATGTCACTTTTTCTACAGGAGGCAATGTATTCAATACAGTGGACCGGTGTCCAAATAATACTGTATATGTATCACCTAAACTCACATTATATTATTTGATGTGATAAAGTATCATAGATGACAAAAAAAGCAGAACTTACATAAACACCTTCCAGCCATCCGAATTTAATGACTTTACCCCGGAGGTTAGCCGTTCCTGTCTCAGCATCAGCGCCTGGGTGTCTCTGCAGGAAAGAACAATATCATTAACATCACTAATATGTAATATTAAAATACTCTAATGCAACATATAATAACATATAATATAGTATAATTAATGTAACATGTAATATACTCTAATACAAATGAAAAGAAATCACAATTTATGTTTTAGTTATTCACATGCTACCAAACAAGGGCTACACAAACACACATCAACAGTCACAATAAGTTTATTTATAAAGGCACCTACAAGGAGTAGGGTCTTATCAAGTAGTGCTATACTAGGAATGGAACGATCATTGCAAAGAAAGAACAGGCAAAAGATATGAAATAAAGTGTGATAATCAACTAATGGTCTTCTGACCGTGGCATAACTGAAAGCTAGTATACTTCCAATGTCAATGCTGACAGTGACCGAGCAGATGGGTGACCGAGCCTTACCTAGCTTAACCTTGTCCAAGATGTTGTCTCTCATTCTATTGGTTAATAAATGCACTCTCATCTATTATTTATTTATTTATTTATTTATTTATTATATACAAGAAGGTACATTGGGTTTGTGAAGATACATAGCATGGTATTTACATGCTTGTAAAGCCACTTGTACGTGCATTGTTTCGGACAGGTCTTTAATATAACAGATAATTTTAAGTAGGTAAATTCTAGCAGAATTTATAAAATGATAACAGGTACATTGCAAGAAAACAAATGAGATGAGAGAGATTAGTAGGTAACATTAAAGCACATCGGTAGCTCTGATTGATTGCATTGAACAGCTTGATTGGTAATTTAACAAAGATTAATTGGCACAATACAGCATATTGATAGCACATATAAGAAGACAGCAATGATCACAATGGTAAAGTTGTTTGGATTAGGTACATAAAGATTGGGAGATTGGGTAGCACTAGATACAGTGCAATTTTAAAGCACAAGGTAGGAAACTATGAAGATGAAATTAGGTACAATGGGGCTTCGACTTACGATGCTAATCCGTTCCCAGAGACGGATCGTAAGTCGAAATATCGTAAGTCAAAGCGATTTTTCCCATAAGAAATAAAGGGAATTGAATTAATCCGTTCCCCACCCTCCAAAATATTAACATACAAATACATTTTATACTGAATGCAATGTTTTTTTCTAACTACAATACAGTACCTAAGTTTATCTTACCTTTATGGAGGGCTCTTGATGCCATATGGAAGATGGTGATGAGGGGGAAGGAGGAGAGTTGTTACTGTTTGGAAGGGGATTCCCCTTCCATTATCACATCAGGCAGTGATGTTTTCTCTGGGGTACACTCTCTCCTACGTTTTGCCTGAATACCACTAGGACTACTATCGTAAGTAGGGGCAATCGTAAGTCGAGACCATAGAGCAGAAACAAGAGTACAGAATGTCTCTTCCTCAACAATTAAGAAAATGTGTGCAGCATGGGAAGAATTGCAAACCTTTGCTGAAACGATTCACCCAAATCAAGCTGCAGTAGGTCGTTTCCTTAATCTATTCAATGACACTGTGATGCATCATTACAGACAAATGTTAAAACGAAGGGAAAAACAAATGTCTCTTGACAAATTTGTAGTGAGACAAACAAGCACTGAACTACAACCAGGTCCTAGTGGTATTCAGGCAAAACGTAGGAGAGAGTGTACCCCAGAGAAAACATCACTGCCTGATGTGATAATGGAAGGTGACTCCCCTTCCAAACAGTAACAACTCTCCTCCTCCCCCCTCATCACCATCTTCCATACGCCATCAAGAGCCCTCCATAAAGGTAAGAGAAACTTTGGTACTGTATTGTAGTTAGAAAAAACATTGTATTCAGTATAAAATGTATTTGTATGTTAATATTTTGGAGGGTGGGGAACGGATTAATTCAATTCCTTTATTTCTTATGGGAAAAATCACTTTGACTTACGATATTTCGAGTTACGATCCATCTCTGGGAACGGATTAGCATCGTAAGTCGAATCCCCCATTGTATAAGTAATAAGCTCAGGAGATGTATACTTTTCAATAATCTAAGATATCAGTTCTGTTCTATTTTTAATCATACTGTGATTATTTTTATCATTCGAATGTTTACCGTAAATGTTCCTGGATCTAGTATTCTAGTTCCTAGTCACTTAATTAGTCTAATTTTAATTTCATTTATCCTAATTCTTATTAAATACTGTACAGTATTATAAACATTTTCTTTTGTATACTCCAGATTCACTTGTCAGTTATATTGCATATTCTAGTTCAGGTGAACTATTATCTGTTCACATCTTTATCTTTTACTAACACTTAACTATTTTCACATATACAATAAGTAATAAACTCAGGAGATATATATTTGCTCATTAACATTAGATATCAGTTCAGTTTAATTACTAATATTACTTCTTATTGTTATTTTAATTTTTACTGTAATTGTTCCTAGATTTAGTGTTTTACTGTAACTACCAATACTTTCTTTAAAGAGTATCTAACTCCTGTATCTTAATAACTTACTAATTTTAATCTCATCATCTATTCTCAAAATTACAATTAAATTAACAATCAATTTAACTTTCTGATCTTTGTTTTTACTTATATTTGCCCATTTTTACTTACATAATTAATAAGCTCAGGAGTTATATAGTCACTTAGTAATATTAGTTATTCTCTCTTACGTTTTTATATTACCATATTTTTTTTTTACAAATTAGGTACTTTGTATTCGACAACATTTTTGCCTATTTTTTTAATTAGATAATTATTTAATTTTCAGTTTATTGTCATACACTTCCTTTTTATTATATTACTAGTAGTACCTGGCCACAGCAACCTTCCCTGTCCCCCAGTCCTCCCCACCATTCCCCCCTCACCCATCTCCTCGGCCTCCCAACCTTTCTCCACCATCCCCTCTTCCTTCCCACCATGCCCCACTCCCTGTCCCTTTGTCCTCCCCACGATTCTCTATTCCCCCATCCCAACGTCCCCACCATCCCAAACTCCCCCGTCCCCTCGTCCTTCCCCTACATTACCCTCTCCCTTGTCCCCTCGTCCTCCCCCACCATCTCTCACTTCCGTCCCTTTGTTATACCCACCATTCCCCACTCCCTCATCCTTTGTCTTCCCAAATGGTCTGATGTTCCCATCAGAAAATTGGGAACATCACGTGATCTGATGTTCCTATCACTGAAATATAAGAAAATAGTTAAAAAATGAAATGAAAATATGAAAAAATATAAAAATAAACTATACTCACGAAATGAACGGTATGGTAAACAACACAGCTCAATTCCAACGCAATTCACACAAAATTGATATATCAAAATGAAAATAAATCAAAATCTATGAAAATTAAATTTATCAATGCAATGAGAAACAATGAAATGGAATTGTAACATATTTAGTATAGCATGTGTGTTGCTCTTACATGCAACAGATGGCACTGTTTTTCAAGAAAAGTATAGTTTTACCTGTCACAGGTGTGGCATCTATACTTATACTTACAAAATGAATGGTATCGTAAACAATATAGCTCAATTCCAACACAATGTCACACAAAATAATTCAATAAAAAATAAAATAAATTGAAATCTATGAAAATAAAATTTATCAATGCAATCGGAAACATTGAAATGGAATTTGTGACATACATAGTATTGCGTGCATGTTGCTATTATGTGAAACAGATGGCACTGCTTTTCAAAAACGTACGTTTTTACCTGTCACAGGGGTGACATCTATATAGTAGGTATATAAAAAGACGCGCCTATTTGAATGCAACGTTGTGTCAAAATTTCAAAGCAATCGATGAAGAACTTTCGGATATTAGAGCGTGTGTTGCTCTTACATCCAACAGATGATGCTTTTTTCAAAAGAAGCATGTTTTTTCCTGTCACAGGTGAGGCATGTATATAGTAGATATATTAAAAGACGCACCTATTCGAATGCAACGTTGTGTCAAAATTTCAAAGTAATCGGTAAAGAGGTTTCAAAGATTTCCCTCACAGGAAAAACACAGTTTTACAGAAAAAGCATGTTTTTTATTGTCACAGAAGTGACATCTATATAGTATGTATATAAAAACCTGCTCGGATGCAAATGAAATGTTGTGTGAAAATTTCAAAGCAATCACTGAAGAACTTTCGAAGATTAGCAGTTATGCACAAACGAACATTTCCATTTTTATTTATATAGATAATATGAATATCCTTGAACAATCTTCTCCATTCTCACTGCATGCACATCTGACACTGACCATGAATTTAATCTGTTATCACATATCTACAACAACTATCAAATTGATCATCACAACTGCAGTTACTACACAGCAAACAAACAAATAGCCCCTGTAAACCCCTGTAAGCCCCTTGTAAGCTAACTTTTTTTTTTTTATTCATTTTGTGTTTGTTTTGTACAGTATTGTGTACATATTTTTTCCCTTTTTTATAGCTTATTTCTACCTTGTAATTTGCCTTTCTTTCCTTGTTTTTCCTGCAATCAGCTTTTTTATGCAGACAAGTATAGACCCAGAACTTAACCTCTTATCCACTATCTATGACAATAATCACTTTAATGATTTAAATTGCAGATATTTTGCAGCACATGATGTAAACAATGTATTAACTCATAATCACAATATCTCTGTAATCAATTTGAACGTTAGATCCCTAGGTAAACACTTCGATGATGTTAGTGCCTTGACTGAAACTATTGACAACAAATTCTCTTTTATTATACTTACTGAAACATGGTTGAAAGAGGATACTACTCAACTCTTTAACATGCCTAACTACTCAGCAATTCACAACTGTCGTCAACTTCAGAGAGCTGGTGGCACTGCTCTTTACTATCACCAAGAACTAACATGCTTAAAAGAAATTAGAACTAGAGACTGCTATGGGGAGTATATCTTCGCCAGCTTCAAAGTCAAAGGTGCCGAGTCTGTTCTGTCTGTGGGTGCAGTTTATAGAATTCCTAACACTGATGTGTCTGAATTCAACTCAAACCTTAGAAATCTAATACTTGATAACAGACTGAACA